GTGTGCCCTGTGGGCATGTGCCATTTTGCTCGTTAGTTGATGAGTTCTCATTTGGAGCTATTAATTAGGAACAATGCTGTTAGGAACCTCGTGAGCTCATTTTTCTGTGGACATGTTTTTATTCTTTGAAAAGTGGCACTGCTGGCTAAGTGATCTACCTCCATGGTAAGCTTCCCAGGAACTGCCAGATTGGTTTTCAGAGGGACTGTGACGTCGGGTTCCCACAGCTGTGTGTGAGGTTCCCTTTCCTCCTGACAGCACTTGCTCTTGCTGGCCTTTCAAGTCACCGTGTCCTGGTGGGCGCTCGCCTGGTTTTTGATTGTATTCCCAGTGACATCATCTTTCCTTACTTATGGGCCATTTGTAGATCTTCTGTGAAGAAATGTCTGGTTGATCCTTTGATCCTGTTTGATGGTGGGGGCCTTAAGTTACAGGGGTTCTTCACATATTCTGGATACAAACCCCTTATCAAATACATACAAATTATTTTTTCCCATCTGGTAGATTTTCTTTTCACATTCTTGATATTGTCCTTGAAGTACAGAAGTTGTTAATGTTGACGATATTTCATGTATTTTATCTATTTTCTTTATGCTGCTTGTGCTTTAAGTGTGATATTACAAGTTATTCGTTCTGCATCCAACGGTTTATCAGCATTTTTTGAGACGGGTGTTCTTATGTCCCTGATTCATCTCTCACTACCAGCAGCGCGTGTGTGAGGGTCCCAGGCTCTTTAGGTTGTAGGCACTTGTTATCATCCGTCTGTCTTGTAGCCATTGTAGTGGATGTGAAGTGGCATCTTGCTGTCACTTTGATTTAAATTTTCCTAATAACTAATGATATTGAACATTTTCCTATGCTTATTGGCCATTTATTTATCTTTTTTGAGAAATGTCTCATTTACCCAATTTTTTTTTCTTCTGTCTCGAAGTGTCAATCCAGTGGCTTTAAGAACAGCCACAAGAAGCCACTGATCTGATCATTCCCAACTCACTGCAGCTGGAGCACCAGCCAGCCTCCTTCTGTGTGAGGATTTTGTTATTTTTAACATCTTGGCTTATTAAAAAGTTTTTTTATTTTTATTCTAATTTGATATATGACAGCAGCATGCATGACAAGTCATAGCACACACACAGCACATTTCTTCATGTCTCTGGCTGTGCACAAAGTACAGTCGCACCATTTGTGTCTTCATATGTGTCCTAGGGGAGCGGTGTCCACCTCATTCCATGTCTTTTTTACACCCCTTGTTCCTCCCTTCTCTTCCCTCCCCTTTGCCGTCTCCTCCTTTACCCATTTTAAATCTGTCTTTTCTTACTAATGTTAATAGTTTTTAATGTATGATGTGTGGATCAAATATATGGTTTGCAAGAATCTACTCCTACTTTGTGGGTTACCCTTTCATTTTTTTGATGGTGTCTTTTGAAACACAAAAGTTCTTAATTTTGAAGTTTAGTTTATCTGACATTTTTTGTTGTTGTTGTTATACTTTTGCTGTCATCTCCCCAAACCATCACCTAATCCAAATTCACAGATGTATACCTGTTTTCTTTTGAGAGTTTTGTAGTTTGACTTTTACATTTCGATCTTTGATATGTTTTAATATTTTGTAGGAGTCTCAAGGTAGGAGTCCCAAGTTCATCCTCCCACATTTAGCTGTCTCATCAGCAGTGATTGAAAAAGACTATTTTGCCCATTTGTAACCAAACATAGTAGATTACAAAGCCAGGAGGTAAACAAGTACGGAGGGCACTAGAGAGAACTCTCAAAGCAGCACCTCCCTGAGCAAAGAAAGCCAAGGGACTGCTGTTTTTTGTTGTGGTACCAAGATTGAACCCAGGGGCACTTAACCTAGCTCCCTTTTGTATTTTATTAGAGACAGTCTCACTAAGTGGCTGAGGCTGGCTTTGAATTCGCAATCCTCCTGCCTCAGCCTCCTGAGCCATTGGGATGACAGGCATGTGCCACCACCCCTACTAGCAAGGGGCTTTTATTAGAAAGTCTCAGACCTGTTCACTATAGGAAAGACTTGTCATCACATGTCACACATGGGGGTGGCACATTGTCCTGAGCATGCTCAGTTCAAGGTCATGCTCATACATTACATGTTCTAAGAATGGCTAAAGACCGCCTCCTGGGGGTGGGGGGAAGTTAGTATCATAATGAGCAAAGTTTACACTGTATCACCTAAAAAGGGTTCGCCAGCATGCCTGAGTGGTCTTGGCTGGTTCCTGGTTCTGGAGTGCCCCGTCTAAAACAAAGTACTTAGAAGGTATGTTAACACTGAAAGGACCCTGACCCCCCCACACCACCACCACACACACACACACACACAGCCATACACACTCCTGTGGTTGTTGTTAGAAGTACTTGCCTAGTGGCTAACATGATGAATTGTCTTAGCACCTTTATCAAGAACCATTTGAGCCAGGCGCACACTTATGATCCCAGAACTCAAGAGGCAAAGCGCAAGGATGACAGCCTCAGCAACTAAACCCTGTCTGGGAATGACAGAGGACTGGGGATGTGGCACTCCCCACTAAATTACTTGAACGTGTAAACATTCTGAGTTCTGTGTTCTTTTCCATTCGTCTTTGTCTTCATGGAAAGACTAGGGTTTTTTTTTGTGTGTGTGTGTGTGTTTTTTTTTTTTTTTAGTTGTAAATTGACAATTGATAAGTTTGTGTTGGGTACAAGGTGATAGATCTATGAGTCCAGTGTGGAATCATTAACATGCTCATCATTTCAAGGGCTTAGTTTTTATTGTGAGACTTCTTAAAAAAGGCTGAATAGTGTCAACGTGGTATTCATGCACCACAATTTCTTCATCTCTTGAACTGTTGATGGCATCCTAACTTGGCTCTTATAGATAATGGTACACTAAGCATGGAAGTGCAGATGTGCCTTCCACCAAGTGGTTTCAAATCTTTGGATTAAATGCCCCCAAACAGAATTTCTGGATCCCATGTGGTTTTGGTTACTGTAGGTTTTGTATAAGTTTTAAAATGAAGTCGGAGTCTTCTAGCTTTGCTCCCCACCTGCCCACAACTATCTTGGCCATTCTGGGCTCCTTGTATTTGGAAATTGTATAAATTTTATGATCAGCTGATCAATTGATGCAAAACACGTGGAGGGTGAACCTGGTGGCCCTTACGTGTGATCCCAGCTACTCGGGAGGCTGAGGCAGAGTTCAAGGCCAGCTGGGAAGGTGAGCAAGACCTGTCTCAAAAGGAAAAATTAGAAGAGCCAGGGACGTGGCACCGAGGTAGAGCACTTTCCTAGCATCCATGAGCTCTGGGTTCAGTTCCCGGTACCAAAAAAAATAAAGAAATAAAAGAGCATCCAGAATTTTGGTAGAGATTTCACTAAATTTGAGAGTCAGTCTGGGGAGTATGGCCACCTTAACAGTGTCTAATCTAATCCATGAGCACAAAGTTCTTTCCATTTATTTAAGTGATCTCTGATTTCCTTCAATGATGGATTATAATTTTCAGAGTACAGATCTTAGTTAGCCGTGTTCAGTGTATTCCTAAGTGTCTCATTCTTCTCTAGTCAGTGAGATTGTTACCTAATGTCACTCTCAGATCGTTCATCACTAATGTGACAGTTAGCTGGATGTCTGTCTTGTACCCTGCGACCTTGCAACTCATTTGCCAGTTCTGAGTTTTTTGTTGTTGGTGGTGGTGGTTGTTGATTCTGTGAGGTTTCCTGTATATAAGGCCATTTAATCTGCAGACAGAGATGGTCTCCTTCTTCCTTCCAATCTAGATGCCCGCGTGCCTGCCCTCCCTCTCCCGCTCTCCCTGCTTGACCTCTGGCCCCTGCAGTACAGGGCTGGTGGAGGTGGGGGAAATGGGCCTCCTGTGGTCTTCCCCATCTTAGGGGGAAAGTTTTCTTTTTTCTTTGTTTTTTGGTGGATGCCTGTTATCAAGATGAGAACTGTCTTTCTATTGCTGGATTTTGTCATAATGCCGTTTCTGTCAATTGACATGATCATATGTGGCTTTTGTCCTTTATTGTTTAATATAGTGTATTAAACTGTTTGATTTTCATACGTTGAACTAGCTTCGCGTTCTTTGGAAGAACCCCACTTATCCTGGTATGTTATCCTTCATATGCTACTGGATTTGGTTTGCTTTTTATATGTAACTTATTTATATTTTAGTTATAGGTGGACACAATACCTTTATTTTTCTGTGGTGCTGAGGATGGAACCCAGGGCCTCACGTATGCTAGGCGAGCGCTCTAGCCCTGAGCCCAGCCCAGCCCTGGTTTTCTTTCTTTTGTTGAGGATTTTTTATATTAATATTCATAAGGAATGTTGGTCTGTAGTTTTTTTGGTCTTTTTTCTTTCTTTCTTGTTATATCTTTGTGGGTTTTGGTATCAGGTAGTATTGGCCTCACAGAATGAATTAGGAAACAAACGTTCTCGCCCATGTTCTGGAGTTCTGTGAAGGTACTGCTTCATGATCTACTTTCAGCCAAGGAAAATAACGTCTTCCCACTTCAGGTACCAGGTGACCACTGAGCGGCTGGAGCCCCGCCTTTGGGCAGGTCCTGACTACATCCAGACCCCGGTGCTCCTTCTGGGCTTTTCCAATCCTGTTCCACTGATCCCAGGCACTGATCCCTCCAGTTCTGGGTCCCTCTGGTCCGTGGTCCCTGGCAGAGTTGTTAAGAGCCTTTCTCTAGAAACAGTCACCTTAAGCCTTACCGGTGGCTCGCACAGGTGCAAACTTCCCAGGTCATATCCGAAAAGTTAGCTTGGTAGCTCTTTGTAAGGTCGGGCAGAGCAAACCCCAACGCTTCTGTTTCTCCCGCACTCTCAGTGGCATTGCGGCGGCCAGGTGGTCTTTCCAGGGCACTCCTGTGCGGTGGCTCAGTGCTGCCTTTGCCTCCTGCGCTGACACTTAGAGCTGCATGTTTGTCACAGAAAAAGCAAGAGGCACGGTGGTGGGGCCCCTGGGCGGCTTTCTGACCCCTTCTGATCTTGCCCACAGGTACCGCGTACACAGACCCATCGGCCGGAATCTCCAGGGATGACCAGCCCCTCCCCGCGCATCCAGATCATCTCCACCGACTCCGCGGTAGCCTCACCTCAGCGCATTCAGGTACCTGCTGCCCCCCAGTCCTTCCAAACACAAAATCTCTAGGAAATCGCACCTCTAGGGCATCAAGTACACTACAACCTCATTTATTTCAAAGACAAAAGAAGAAAAGTTTCTGTTCACTGATGACCATTGTGGTGCTGGGCAGTTGTAAACCCAGGGCCTCCTCTGGCTGGGCAGGTGCTGTCCCACCGAGCTGCCCTCCAGCCCTGCTTAACTTATTTCTAAGAACTCTAACCTGTTATTTCAACTATTGTGATAAAGAACCATTTTGTTACTCATTTGCTCCCAAATTGATGGGCATTGTGTTGGTCACGGGCTGCCCGCTTGTTGCCGGGAACCCACTGTCGCTGTTGCTGTCTGGGGCAGTTAAATGTCAGAGACTCACGTTTTCCACTTGCAGCATGTGCGTAATATTGTGCCCGCCTCATAGGTTATGTAAGGAATCAACGGGACGCTGCGTATGAAGTGCTGAGAAGGGCCTGGCCCAGGTCAGTGTCCAGTGTGTACACCTCTGTATGATTCCTGTTATTACTGGTGTCATTGACCGCTAATAACTTAAGCAGGGGCGGTGCTGAGCCTGCCTCTGTCCCTTTGCACGGTTTCTTTACTCAGAAGGTAGGTATGTAGGCCCTAGCTGGGAGGAAGGGGCAACAGACCCTGACAGATAAAGATGCAATGTTATCACATCAGCCGAAGCAAAAGGCCAAATCCAAACGTGAGAACACAGATGAACAGCAGGAAGAACATGAGTTGCACAGCATGCACGTGAGGGACGCCAGGTGACGGGTACTTGGGAACCAGGGATTGCTGTCCTAGGTAGTGGAAGCTCACTGCAGGCAGACAGTGATACAGAGTGACTGGGTAAATTCTACAGTCTGCCTGCTCTTAAGAGACTTCATGGACTCTTCCTGTTATAAACTACAAATGTTTCTAATAAGTAAGATGAAACGAGTTGTTAAATGCTGTTGTCTGTTGCATGATGTACTTACACACAGAAGCTGTCATTTGAACTTGAAAATGCAAGTTTGCAAGTTGGAAGAACCCTGACGGGGTGTTACTGTTTGCCCAGGTTAGGGGCTCACAGAGCTGTGTCGTTCTCCCTTTACTCTGTTCTTATTTGCTGCTGATGAGAGTCTCTCCTGCGTGGGAGGTGTTGGGGTCTCACTGCAGGACTCTTCCTGACCCTGGCACAGAAGCTTGCTCTGCGCAGCTCACTGTTACTTTTTCAAATGGCAACTGTTTTCAGAAGGCGGGAAGCAGATAAGGGTGCAGAGAAGGACGGGGTGGCCACCCCAGGGGACCCCGTGGTGTGTAGTGTCCGTCTCTAGACTGCAGCTCCCTCTGTATGATCTAAGAAGAACTTCCTGTTTTCCTAAGGGCATGTCCAGCTTCCCATCTTATCTGTAGAGTGAGGCTCTTCCCTGCTGGCGCCCAGCCCCTGGGGACGCCCTCAGGACCTTTCAACAGAAGTCTTGGGGGAGAGATCTTTGGTGCTGAGCTTGCAGATTCTAAGGAAGACAGTCCTTTGGTGCAAGTTTTATGTTTATTACATAATTGACAGTGTCCCATTGGGAGCTGCTAGTGAAATTGGACATGCTGAGCGCTACCACACTGGCTATGTGAGGTTTTCGAAGTAAAATAAAGGTTATTGGTTGGTTTCTGGATTTTCAAAATTAGTGCTGAGGGTCCCACGCGGTTCTCACTGCCAGCTCTTGCCTTAGTGATCAACTTGCATTCCCTGAGGCCTGGGAAGAGAAGGGACGAGTTCTCTGATGTTGTCATGAGTAACAGTTCCTAGAACCCAAATGGTGGCTTCTCTCACAAGGTGGGCAGGGAAGGATTTTTTAGTTTTTGTTTTTTAAAGGAAAACAGGCTACACAACAGGTCGGAGCCGTGTCTGAGTGTACAGAGACCGAGGGTCGAGTCACGTCTATCCCCAGCCGTGCGACTGGGGAAAGTGAGCTGACAGAGTTGTGCTGACAGTGCTTACTCTGTATGTAAGTTGGGAAGGGACTAGGTGACATAAGTAGCTAAGGTAAGGCCTGTGGAGCCCCAGGAAGCCAGCGCAGTGTGGATTTTTATGGTTTATTTGTACATAATTTCAAACTTACCAAAAATAGTCCATACGAATTCACTGTGCCTGTCACTCGGGTTTGTGACTTATGTGCTGTCACATTCTAAATATGAGTGTATTTATTTTCTGGTTCCTTTGAGAACAGACTGGGGACATCACTCCTGTGCATTGGATCTAAGGACAGTGACATTCTTACATCATCACAATACAGTTAGCAAAATGAGAAAATACTAACACCGAAATGTGCCGTTATCTGTCAAACTCCAGATTCCCACATTTCATTCACTGATGGAGCTATTTTTCCAGGATCGATGTTATATTTTTAATAGAGAAAAAAGTAATAAAGATGTCATCAGCCCAAGGTCTGAACACGCTTAGTTATGCAGGATAGAAGAGGGTGGGGTGCGTGTGGCAGAGCCTGAGTCCATTTGTGCCACGTCCCTGTAGCGGCTCAGAAGGCCCTGAGGAAGTGGGTGGAGCGTCAGCCCTCGGGGTGGAGGGCAGGTGTGCAGTCGGGGTGCTGTTGTTTCTGGGGACACTGAGGTGTAGGGCAGGAGCCATGGGAGGACATGGAGGACACAGCACACATGAGGTTCCAGTTTTATTATTTTATTCATGTTTTGGAAGCCATTAAAGTAAGTTAAAAGGACAGTGTGTGATATAGTGAATTTTACCTGCTGGAAATAGTCAGTGCTCTCACTTCTGCCAACTCGTTCTGCCTGGGCGGACGCTGTGCAGCCCCTCCTGCCCTCTCTGTGGGTTTGGAGATTTCCCTAAAAATTTAAAAGGACAGAGGATGGAGCTCAGTAGGAGAGGGAGAGCACCCTTGGTTCGAAGTCTAGCACCCCAGAAAAAGAGAGGAAGGACAGTCGTATGCCTAACCCCAGTGACTCAGAGGCTGAAGCAGAACATTCACAAGTTTGAGGCCAGTCTCGGCAATGTAGTGAGAGCCTTCTCAAAAAGTTACAAAAGGTCTGGTCCCAGCTCAGTGCTGACGCACTCTGGGCTCAGTCCTGGGAGGGAGGGTGGTGTCTGGCATCTTCACACTCCAGGGTGAGGCCTCGTGGCTGTCCCATCAGCCCAGGTGACAGCACTGTTACTTCACGCTGTGCTCTTGGTCAGCTGCCCCGTGTCCCTCCCTCCTGCTGTTCCCAGCCCTGGTGCTGTGTCCTGCATATCCTGCTTGGAGCTGCTTGCTCTGTGCCCTTTCAGTCCCCAGCCATGTGCTGGTTCCTCTCTCGTGTGCTCAGAGGAGTTGTTGCACGTGTGTGCTGGAAGGGTGACAGAGACCCGTGTAACAGAGTCACACCAAAGTGGGCACAGAGTGAAAGAGGAGTGTCCCCCGCCTTCCTGGGGTTGCACAGCTGTATCCTGGGTTGGGGGGGGGGGCAGCTGCTGTTGCCATGTTGCCTTTCATTCCTTCAGTGTCGGTCTTGTCATATAAGTCCACAGGGACACGTGTGAATGCATATATCACGTTTTGACGTGTCAACACTGTCTGACGTTGTTTTGCTCCCCAGTCTTTCTTCTTAAGTGTGGCTCGTCCTTGGAGATGGTTCTGTATGGTGCATACTAGACATCCTGTTTCTCTTCTTGAGTGGCTGCTTGATATTCCATTTTGCCACACCGCCCCCAAAGAGGGTGTCCCGGTTTGTACTCCCACCAACCCAGTGTGCACACCACGCTGTAATTTTTAATCTTGTCGGTTTGCCAGATGAAATAATGTCATTGCTATACAAATTTTGCACTTTGCTATTTACTCACATGTATATACATGTGCATGTACATATGTAAAAATAAAGTTTCCCGGGCGTGGTGTTGTATACCTGTAATCCCAGCAATTTGGGAGACTGAGGCAGAAGGACCACAAGTTTGAGGCCAGCCTCTACAATTTAGCAAGACCCTATCTCAAAATAAAAAATAGAAGGCGGGGCTAAGGATAAACTTCAGTGATGAAGCACCCTGGGTTTGATTTAAAAAAAAAAAAAAAAAAAAAAGGAATTGTTAGTTTTTCGGTAACAAGTAGATGCTACTTAAGTTTCATGTCCCACCCTTCCACTGCCCCACCCCGCTGACTGTCCATCCAGTAGACTTTCTGTGTGACTTTGATTGTCATACTTAAGCGCACTTTATGAACCAACGGATAAATGCGTATTTAAAACAGGAGGTCTTTCTAGAACCACCCTCTGACATGACCCAGACCAGCCCGCCGGCCAAGTGCCTGCTTTAGGAGAAAGAGAAACCAGGTGGACATCAGAAAACGCGCAGGGACCATGTCTAAAACAGGAAGGGGCTGGGGCTGTGCAGTCGAGTACTCGTCCCGCATGGGTGAGGCCCTGGGTTCCATCCTCGGCACCACATAAAAATAAAAAGGTACTGTGTCCACCTGCTACTAAAAATATATATATATACACACACATTTTAAAAAAGGAAATAATCGAGGCCTGGCTTTCGCGGTGCTCTTCTTCTGTGTGGCTGTGAAATGTTGGAGTGTCCCTCTCCTCTGGCTTTCTTCCCGTGGAGCCCCGGGCTTTACCCGTCATTAAAGTTTCTCTTTAGACTTCTTCTTTGAACCATGTTTTCTTCAGGAGGGTGGTGGTTTAATTTCTCCATACTTGGTGATCTTCCTGTTTCTAGAGTTGATTTCTGACGCTGACTCCTTGAGGTCTGAGAACATACTCTGTATGGTGTCCTGTCAAACTCTGTGTCTCGTGTCACAGTGTGGCCTCTGTGGATGGAGCTCCACTGGTGGAGACCTGAGGAGGGTGGTGCTGTTAGATGGGTTGTTTTGTAAATGTGGATCCTGTCAAGTTGACAGTGCTCTTCAGGTCAAGTGTTTGTGTGTTTATCGCCTCCTTGATGACAGGAGGCAGTGCCATCTCCAAGTAGAACTCATTTTTCAATCCCTCCTTGCAGTTCGGTCATT